GATCGGATTAACGAGTAAATTTCCTCTTTGGAAAGTGGTGGCGCAGAGTTCCCCACGTCGTATGGATACGATAGTAAAAAAATAGAGGTATGGACAGGGTTAAACAGTCTGTATAGTTACAAAATGTCCAGCTGACGTCAACAACGATATCAAAAAGAAAGTTTTGAGAACGTTTTAAAACTATGTGTGGTTCCTTTTTCAAATGTTGGTGGTGGCTGTGGTGGTAATGATGATGATGATGATGATGATGATGATGATGATGATGATGATGATGATGATGATGGCAATACATTTCCATTCTATTATTCACCAAAATTGGCTATTCTGTATAAAGAAGATCAAGTGAATCAGATAGAACGACATTGTACCCCTTGTGTTCCAGGAAATGAAATAAGGTTTAAAATTTACCATTCGGCAGGGAAAAGGTGAAATCTCCGTTTGTGCCAGCGTCCGGGTCTGTGGCTTCCACTGTGAGTATCGAGGTCCCGAGACTGTCAGATTCAAGCACGCTTCCTCTAAACAAGTACTGAGAAAAAGTGAAAGTGAAAACAAAATCACCATCATTGCCTTTCTCACGCTGGATCAGGATATAGGCTACTAACAAACACTTTCCACCTTTCCCTATCCTGGGCTAGTCGCTTGATGCCACTCCATGTCTTCTCACTTTTCTGTACATCCATTACCGGGACTCTTCTCCAGGTTCCACGTGGTCTTCCCCTTGATCTTTTACCCTGAATTGTTATTCTTAAAGTTTTACAGCCCCGTCGACACAATTTAGATAATTAAGGAGGCAGGTTGCTTCAAGCCTGCCGTTTAGGGCCAACTAGGGCAGAGAGGCATACAACGTCTCAGCAGACCAACGACCTAGATACTTGTTAAATCCTCTCTATATGAGAATCGAACTCACGACTTCTGCATGCAAAAGGCAAAGCGGCTAATCGTTACGCTATAGGCACCCTTCGAAAATAGGGTTTTGTGCTTTTAAGAATTATTAGATCAAGCAGTATTGCCATCTGTAACCTTGCTTTATTTTTCTCTTCTCAGCAAAGCTTGCAAACTGAAAGAAGCTTATGAAATTAATCAATTTTGAACAATTTTTCTTTAACGAACAAAGTCATATCGCTTATTGATACCCTCCCTCCTTTAAAAAAATTATTATATGCATCATTTTTCCATATCCTAAATCCACAAAACATTCCTATTCTCTTTCCTTTTTCAATTTTGATTGCGAGACCTGCGATCAGAGCTCTTTATATTGACATTTTTTAATTCACCAAAGCTGCATTGAAATGAACTAAATAAAGTACGTAGTCAGCTCCCGTTAGGTCATGTCTTTGCTCTAAAATTGCTGTGTTCCAATGAGTGCTAAGAAATGAGTGTTCAGACTTTGGCAAATGTTTTTTTTTTTCTGGTTTTTGATTGAGCAGATGTTTTACGGCACTATCGACTAAATTTTGGTCATTTAAGCGCCAACAGGTTTCACCGCTACAAAGTCAGACGAGTTTTTAGTAAGAGTCTTTCGGAGCTCGCAACCGCACACGGTCACACTTTTTTCATTATGCTAAAAAGACGGACAGACATTTCAGAAATTTTTTTTCTGCTTAAATGGAAACGATCCTTTTTATTCCTCCTCCATATACGCTCAACGTCCCTCAAATAAAAAAGAGAAAATCCTTTATACAGTACTAAACGCTCTTCATTCAAAACATAAACTGTTCGTTTTCTGATCTCTAAACGTTATCGAATACAATTGACATAAAAAGCAGTGTCATTCATTACCGCACCCGACCAGATCTATGCGGCAATAAATACTTTCAAAGTAAAAGCAATTAAGTCTACGCTTTGGTGCTGAGGAAGAGGTAAATGTCGTTCCCTATACACAGTTAAATGTTTATTGCACAAGGGCTTTTCACAAACAACAATAAGAGAGATCGTAACGATACAAAGGTCGTAACCCTCCAGTGCACTGGAGAAATTCTGATCGCAACAGTTATTGAATATCTTTATAAAAGATGTTACCTCATACAAGAATGAGGAAGGTTATGTGGTGGGCAGGGGGGGGGGGGCAACCGAATACGTGTCCTAATACTATACTTTCCTTGCTCAAGGCTATGCACTTCGGATGGTCATAAAGATGAGGCACATCACACGCACCCAAATGGGTCTTCTGCCTTTTCAATCCAGATTTTATATTACTTGTGAACAAATATTATAGAGCAACACTCGCAACATTCATGCATTCAAACTCAAGCCAAAGTTATGGCTTGACACTGTACGGTTTCTATCACTAAAGACTTTAGTCATTGACATAACGATTATATAGAATATTTTCTACCCTCTATTGAACGTTTTTCTGAAATGGCAACAGTGTCAAAACGTTATTCTTGAACACTTACGGGTGCAAAAGACTTCTTTGTTAATTATTAAATGGGCAAACATTATGTGGCGGAAAAAGTAATGACGTTCGGTGCAACGCATTATGAACCTATAGGGAAATACACATTGACTCTTAGTAGACCTTTGTACAGGAAATGCGGTGAATTGAACAACTTATGACACCAAAAGTTGGATAATATAAATCAAGACTACTAATATGCGACAATACACAAGAGACAGATTGTTTAAAAAGAAGATATATATGTGTGTAT